GGTTTGTTAGTCAATATAGAAGGCGCAAATAGTTAAAAAAAATTCTTTCAAATGCCATTTTTTACATTTTGCCCTCAAATATTGTCAATATTGACAGTAGGTACCAATACCGGCTCTTGTCCGAGAACAAATCTCCCCCTACTCCACGGCTTTTTCCATTTCGCGCTACTTTCGCGCGCTGCGACCTCACACCTCTACTCTTGTAGACGACCTCATCGCACTTAATGAAGAAGAATACCAATTTTATATGGTTCAGTGCTTGGACTATGGAAATCCACTGACTGCCAGGGTACTGGGGAAGAAATGTCACATGAGTTAGCAGAAATGGAAGATGAAGATATTCAGAGAGATACTAGGGGTTCAACCACAAGATCAGGAAGAAAGTCAAGGCGTCCAAGAGAATCATCGTTCTTATTTTACGATTAACTTGAAACTCAAGAAACCCTCGGCAGCAGCATCCATTGGTCTCCCCTGGATGGAACACAAGTCCACGACGTAAGCACTTGATAAAAGTGACTCTACCCGGCTTGTGTGCAGGTGGAATTGTTGTACGTAGTGATTCACAATACAAACAGTGTCTTCTTGCTAAAACCCCCGCCTAAACAAGACGGCGTAGTTTACAGGATTCCCTATGTATACATCGTCGAGACGGGAAGACCCATGCAGGATTGAATTAAGGAGCATGATCGAGAAATCCGACTAACCCATACCCAGACATTCGCCGTTTCAGAGCACGACCACAACACCTGACATCAGCCACTCTGGAACGAAATTAAGTTTATTGATGGCGATCCTCATTACTACACACGTAGGGTCAAAGGAGCAATTCACATAAGACTTCACTCTGATAACATCAATAGGGACGGTGGAATAGAAATTCCAGAAGCATGGATGCACACGACCCGCGAGAAACAAAACAACAAGAGAGCCGTGCGATAACGGACCGCCGAGGGAACAAATCAGCGAAACAGCGAGGAACGCCCCAGGAAAATATGTTTGTCGTTATCAGGTACCCAAACATATCACACTCAATGACGTCATCGTGGTAACTTGCATTATAGGGATACGAACCAAAAGAATTAACGGGATACGGGATATTTTGACCAAAAATTAATTGGATACGGGATACTCAGACCCCCCTTAATGGGGCCTCATAAACTGCCGCAGCAACTCTTCGACTTCCCACAATTCTTAAGCGTATCTCGCAAGGAACATTTCCCTAACTTGCATCAGCGAGGCGAAGACAAACAATTTCTTCTTACAGGTGCGATAGAACCAAGGTTTTATTCCAAATAATCTCCCACTTTGAGCTTGAGGTGCCTGTATTGAAAGTCAGCTATGAACTGTGCTTCAACGCTTGCATCTATTCGAATGCTCCAAGAACTGCTGATAAATAATTTCCGTTGATTATAATTCCATCATAAACAAGCAATCTCTCATCATGAATTTAAGATTTCTATAATTCGAGTCGAGTCATCTATGAATGTCAAGCCATACCATCGTAAAGAACTGGGCATGAGTTTAGATGACCTCCAATTTAAGCAATTCAATCCTTGTCCAATTTATCCAAAACGCGAATGCCAAAAGTTGTCGCGCAAATTATGCATAATTAAGCAACATCATCTGTTGTGTTAACACACTGCGCCACATTTTAAACCAATAAATGTATTTTCTCCCACTTACGCGAAGTGGCCTATATT